ATGGGGATTTGGCAAGGAATGTTTGTTTTGGCACGCTGCTCCTTTTGGCTTGCGTAACGTTGCCCGTGTTTTGTCAGTTGGAATTGTGTGAGGACAGCATTTTTGATTGCTGCTGAATAAAAATGTTTTGCTCTTTGGCAGTTTGTTTTGATATCCACCAAAGGCTCGAACTTTATTTTGTGCAGGTGGTTTTCCTTGTGATTTCCCTTACTATCCAATCTGGGCGCCCCAGTTTCAGGCGGACCTACCCAATCAGACCGGTGGCTGCTTCGCTTGCTAGGCGCAGACAGGGACCCCTTCGCCAACACCCCGGTGAAGGTTGAGGACTCGCCCACGGGCCGACCTCAGATCGCTTCGGTCACTTTCGAATTTCCTGCTTCCCCTTAAAGAACAGGGGCTGCAAACATTATCTTGTGTAACGGCTACATTAAACGAGTCTCCTAGCGGCTCCGGGCGCGGGTTTGTTTGTCGGCCCAAGCCCCGGTGTCCGGCATGGATGTTTGCGCATTTGCTCGTCGAACTATTTAGATGGTGTCCATCGCCAAAGGTGAGTAGAATCCCAACTCGGTTGAAATGGGACAAGTGGAGCCCAAGTTTGACCGAGTCGGCTTCATTGGCTTTGCAGGCAGACAGTCCACCCCTCTCGAGTTGGCTTCTTGACCATGGAGGATGTGAAGGAAAAGTGCCCATGCATTGTAACTGTCGGGATTCTGATCAAAAGCCTTTGGCTGAATTCGTCCTTGCCAAGAGTGCCTTGGAACAAAGTGTGCTCTTGGGTTCACAACTTTTCTGGCTGGTTCCAAAGGGACATAGTCGTGACGGAACATCTTGATTGCTTGTGGCCCCAGCAGCTGGTGCCCTTCACATATTCTCAACCCTGGAACTGGGGGGTTCGACCCCACCGACTTCCAACCCGTACGTTGCTTTTCCAACCTGAAGAAAAATGGATGGCTCGTCTTTTGCCTTGGGCCCCCCTGCCTTGTCTTTATTTTTAAAGGGAAGCAGGAAGGAACACCGCCATTTTGGGTGTTCCTGTAAAAACGACACACCCAAGTGGTTGAAGCTGGCGAGCCCACTTGCCCAGCAGCGTAGGAAATCGGAAGGGATCCTCCCATTTGTTGGCCAACTTTCTATCAGGGCGAATAGGAGCTTGACCCCTTCACAAGAGCCCCGATGTATTTCTTCTTTTGCTTTTAAACATCACCTTGGCCAATTCAAAGTGAGTTCCCTGGGTGATGTTTCAAGGGAACAGATTCTCAGGAGCCGCCCCTAGGTGGAGGGGCCATGAACGCGCCCGGGACATCGAGCGCAGGAGCTAATACCCATGACGGAGCTTAAGGAAGAGATCCACCGCTTTGCCAAAGAGAAGGCGGGGCTTCCATTAGGTGCAGAGTCTCAGTGGTTTGCTGGAAGGCCATCAAAAATGGCGGGTTGTGCTTGGGTTCCCCCTTACAGCCCAAGGATGCCCAAACAACATGTCTAGAAGTCCTTTTGGAGGCATGCCAACTTGGAGGTGGCAGAAGGACCACCCTGGAGGGGTTGTTCACCTAAGTCACCCAGGCGTTTGCCCCCCACCCCCACCCCCTTCCCCCACAGCATGAACGCGAGTCACCTGTTTGTGGTTTGGCCGATTGTAGAAAGGATTAGTCATGACTGAACCCCGCTATCATCCGCTCATAATGAAAGCGCGCTGGGTTCATGTCATGAGTAGTCAGCAGCCCTACATGGTTCATTTGGGAGGAGGAGAGGGGTGGACGGCCGGCGAACTGAGGGTGAAGGTGATGAAGCGATGAAGTCAGACAAAGCAGCCTTCCGAATGTGTGTCTGTGTGTTAAGAAGACTTTCCCGAAAACTAACACGGCCGTATTTTTTTGGGGAGCTCCCTGTTGGCTGGTTGCAGGCGAAATGAACAAGCAACTTATTTTGTAGGGCTTCCTTTGACACAAATTCACAGGGAACCGTGCCAGAGTTCCAGAGTTGTTGCTGGAAGCGAAACCATCGGCTGAGGGCATTGCGCTCGAGGGCGGCAATATGTTCGACTGAGCTGTCCCGCAGTGTCTCACTCAGGTTTGCGGGAATTTTCAGATACCCCCCAGAAGGGTGCCCCTTTCCAAACGCCTCTTGTTTTGGGGCACTAGGGAGAGCCTTTTGCGGCGAAAAAGTATTGGGTACCTACCTGGGGGTTATCTGAAAATTCACAAAGGTTAGCGTGCCGAGACCAAGCGAGCGCGAGCAGCACAAAGCCTGCTTTTGTGCCTGCAAACAATGAGCGGATGAGCTTCAACGGCAAACTGCACATGCTTGGGGCCACAGGGTCCATAATAGCACTGGTTTCAGTCTGGTTCCAGATTCCAGTCATATACCAGTGCCATCTATTTTTCCAACAGGACGTCCAAGCGGCGCAGTGTGATGCGAAATGTGTAATTTGCTGCTTGGGGATGCGGCAGTTGATTCTCGGCTTACGAGTTGCATCGTGCAGGGGCATTATCATCGTTCCCTTGGACGAGCGGGTATTTGCGAAGGCCGGCCAGTTTGCAAGCGGCCATGGCCTTCTTGACCTCTTTTCGGACCGACTGATCATTCAGTGTAGAGTTCAGACCTTGAGTAGGGACCTTGCTGTCGAGTGGGTTGTTCCTCCCATTCCATAGATTTGTTTTGAGAGGATTTCCACGCAAGATCAACAAGCCAGGCATCCTTTTCCTTCCCATCTTCGGGCCGAACCCCCCCGAAAGAGGGTGGTCCAGTTTGGCCGAGACTAAGGCCCTTGACTGCGACCACCCATTTTGGGGACCCCCTCTTTGTAGAGAAGATGCACCAACGTGCTCAACTTGTGGATTCGTCTCAAGGCCCTGGCCATTTTGCAGAGAGGAACAGCTAGTCCTTTGGATCCTTCGGATTGATGTCGCCTCTTGGCATATCATGAGCAACTATACTATCGGCAGTCCACTTTGGTTTGGACACACCCAACTTGTCCACCCAGTTTTCCCAAATCCGCTTGGGGAGAGAGAAATTCGGTGATCGGATATCTGAACATGAACTCCTTGCATGAAATTGCCTCAACCAAGCAGGGGTCCAATCCCCTTGGTGTTTCGTCAAAAGGGGAATCAACCAATCCACAAAGGGTCCAATTCGTCACAAACACATTTGGATGTTTCCGAAAATTGGAGATAAGACTGATTGGTCAAAGTAGTACCTAGTTGTGGCCGTCCCTCTTGAAACCAGAGTACCTAGAATCCGCAGGGTATTTTGGTTTGGATTTTGATTGGCTTCCCGGTTCTACGCGGGCCGCCATGTGAGTCTTTCAGTGAAGGGACTCTGCCCATGGCCAATGCGAGTGTTAGAATGAAGGACCTCCGCCTTGTGGTCGGTCCCCCTTGTGGTCTGTCCGCCTGATCGCCACCATTGTTTTCGCTCTTGAAAAGACAAGTACAGAGTCTAGGTTTCGGGGCGAGTTGCTGAGAATAATCCGTGGAAAGCATCGAGATCGACAGAAAGGCAATTCATTGGTTGGATGTGACCAGTGGCTCACATCTTGCATCCTTGAAACAGCCCTGTGGACGTGACAAAGGTGACCCGTTGTTCCATCTTAGTCGACCATCGTTTTGACCTCCGTGCCGCGGTTGACACTTTATTCGCAGGCTCCACTGAATGAGAGCCGCTTGACGGCTGCGGCGAACTAAGACACTGAGTCCAGCGGTTGCGAAGGCGTTCGCTTGGTTGGCGTTGGAAGAAGTTTTCATTGCCCACCCGGGATGGCTGGTTGCTCTCGGTTCCTCAAGTCGGCTTCCACTTTTTGGGCTGGTACCCTTCCACTTGACAAAATCCAATTCGATGTCCTGGGAAGGGAAAAGAGTGGGGTTGAAAAGCTCGGACGATGCCCCATCCTTCAAAGTTTCCAGGGAAAAGAAGTTGGGCACAGTCGGGTAGGATATCTCACTTGTGAGGGCCAGTTGAGTTGTTTTAGATCCCTGCCCAAGGTAGACAAACACCAAGTTGTGGTTCTTTTTCCAGAGGAATTAAGTCTACCTTGGGAAATGGAGGTGACGTCAGCTAGCGGGGAATCGATCGCAGCCCTGGGCCGTGCTTCACTTCAGTTCCCAAATGGGAGGCGAGAGGGGGGGAAATCATTTTCCAGGGCCACAGTGCAAAAACTTTGTTTGAACTCATGGAACTTTGGTTTGAACTCATGCCCTGCCCTGCTTTGCATTCAAGTGTCGTTGAGGCAGTTGAGATGTCACTGGGCCGAGACAAAGGCGGGATTTTGCCGGGGACGGGGGGTGGGAAGCAGTGGGCACACGCGAATCTTCCGATTGCACCGGCTGCCGGGGGCAACTAATACAAAACCCACCAGTGAAATGGTCCTCTTTGCAGGAGACATGGTCTTCTCGGACAGCCCGGTCAGGTTGTTGGTGGGAGGGCCATTCCGGCTGACCTGCCTCTTTCGGCCACCCATCAAGCCGAAAGCTGGTCGCTTTTGGGGTGGATAGATAAACCGCGTGGTTATCAACTGCCTTGGTTGTGCTGTAGCACCTGAAACTCATTGGAATGCCAAGCAATACCTGAAAGGAGATGGTTGGAATCAACGCGACAAGTCCAACACAGTGATGTTGGTGGCAGGACATGGTTCCCGCAAAAATGATCAATGCAAGGATATGTGCCTATCCCGAAGGGTTAATTGAGGATGGAAATCAGCAAAAATGTATTGCTCCGCTGGAATCTCCTTTGTATTTTGGAGCATTGTGTGAAGATGCGTGGTTGGCTTCCTTTTGGTATCCCTTCAAACCTTGGCTTAAAGGGAACCATCTTGTGGGGGTCCAAATCCCAACTTTGAAACACAACCCAAATGGGGAAGGTAGGTCGGTCCGCTCTCTGAGTTCATGAACTTAATGTATACGCTTGTAAAAAGAGGACGGTCTTAGCGGGAAACGCACGTTTTTTGGCCCGTCCGCTTCAGAAGTGAGCAGGGGCACTCCTCATCCTCAGCTTGCCGCCTGGCCACTCCAGGAACTGCTCCACAGTCTCAGCCGTCGGCCTCTCAGCTGCTTTCTTTGTTCACGGGGGGCATGATGTTTCCTTCTTCTGGTGGTTTGAAACATCAACTTTGGACCCGTTTAGGGCGACGTTACCTTGGTAGGGGTGATGTTTGAGCGGGAAATACAGGAAGGTGCGCTGCTTGAAGGTGCGCTGCCCGCCTCGAAAACACGCTGGAGTATATAGCATTGAACACCAGGGGGCCACTTGTGTTTCGAGACCACGCATCCCCTTAAAAGGCAACCACAAGCAGAGTGACGAGTGTTGAACCACGCAACAACAGCAAACCATGTGGTGGAACAATGATTAAACAAGGAGGTTGGCCCCATCCTGAGGAAAAGCAAACAACAACTCTCAGTTTGAAAATTAACCTAGGTACCAAACTGGTCTCAGTTCGATTCTAATCATGACACACCTGGGATCAGGTCGGATTTTCAGTCTTGTTTTCCTGCCGCAAATAGGACAACTTAGAACCAGTGGCTCCTTGGCTTCAAATGAGGCTCACTGTCGCACTCCGATGTTTCTATGATCCAGGTTCGCCTCCCTCTTTTCGGTTGAGCTTCAATTTTGGACTGATGCCGATGCCCCTCAAATTATGGGAACATAGCTCTCTTGGAGGAAATCCTTTCATTTACCCATTCACCCAGATGGTCAAAAGAGCAACCCTGCAGTCCTTTTGCCGCTGTAGGAAGTTTGGTTCATTACTGCAATGGGAACCCATGCGGGTGTTTCTTTTTGGGTTTCCTCCGCCATCACAACAAGAGACCCCTAAGAGTGGGAAGGAAATACACAATTACTAACAGTCTACTCCAAAAATGATGACTAAATTTGTTGATACAACATCCTATTTCCCCATTCTAAGTATTTGCCAAGGACACGCCTGGTGTCTAACCGCTTCGTCCCGTTCAGGGCAAAAGGCTACGCTGGCCAGGCGTCGGCGCGCAAGTCGCGATGCGGTTTCCTTTGATGTTGGCTTCTACGGATAGGCAGTCCTTTGAACCGCTTTCAAGGAAAAACCCAAAGAAGCCAACCACTTTTCAATGGTAGACCCGGATGTTGGCTGCTTTCTGCTTGGGCCTTGAAACGCTCAAGCATGTGCTTTGCCGCAGGCTGTGACAGAAGAGGCGGGGGACCTCAGCATCAAATAGGGATATGTCCGAGTGAACCCAAACATCCGCACATTCATCCATCCGCACATCCATCTGTTCATCCGTCCGTTCATCCATCCATCCATCTTTCCATCCATCTTTCCATCCATCCATCCATCCATCCATCCATCCATCCATCCATCCATCCATCCATCCATCCATCCATCCATCCATCCATCCATCCATCCATCCATCCATCCATCCATCCATCCATCCATCCATCCATCCATCCATCCATCCACCCGGAGAGAGAGAGAGATAGAGAGAGAGAGAGACACAGACACAAACACAGACACAGAAACAGACACAGACAGAGACAGAGACGGAGACAGAGACAGACAGAGGGATGGACAGAGCGACAGAGAGACAGACACAGAGAGAGACAGAGAGACAAGACAGACAGATGGACGGACGGACAGACAGACACAAACAAACAAACAAACAAACGAACGAACAAACAAGCAAACAAAGAAACAAACAAACATATTCTTGAATGAGGTCTGGCAGGCTTGGGTGTTCAACCTATCATTACTAACTGCAGTTTCAACTATGCCAATTTTGGCTCAAGGTATTGATCCAAACTGGCTAGTTGAGTTTTCCGTCTCAGGAGTGACCTGAATGGCAGGTACTCATGTTGCCGTGCACACGGAGCGCCAGGTCCTTTCGCCTGCGGCTTTCATGGACTTCCGCTACGAGGTCAACCGGCTGCTGCGTGGTGGAGAGACCACCCAGGCGTTGGGGTTCTGGGGCTCCGTGGTGGAGATTCGCCGTGCAGGGACACGAGCAGGAAAGTTGAGAGTGGATTTCCGGAGGTACCGGTTTTGCGCGGGCCCCTTGCACGACGGTTGGAACTTGGAGCCGCCGAGGAGGAATTCCCAAGCGAGGCAGGAGCCACTGTGTGGGCGGCATTTCGCACCAGCGATGTGGGGCTGTCGGAGGATGCTCTGGCGTAGCCCTAATTTGCCTATGAGCCCCGGGGCCATGGTAAGGCCGAGCGGGCCAGCAATGCCATCCGATCTGGTTGATGTTGGCGGCAGTGGATGCGCACCTGGAGTATATCCCACCCCTGTGTCCTTGGTGTCTGGTCCCCACCTTCTTCTCGTCTGCAAAGAGCGATTCGAGCTCTGGCTCAAGTTAGTTCTGTTGTGGCTGCAGGGCAGTATCCGGGCAGGTATGTGGCCGAACCCGCAGGGCATGGGGCGTTGAGCCCTGAGCAGCGTGCCGTGAGCGCCATGGCCTCATCAGGGACGATGACCTGGCCTTCGCGTGATGCGCAGGTTGCTGGAGGCCAGGCTTGGCGAGCAAATGGGTGCGCGCTTTGAAGGCTGCCAGTTGGGGACCACCCCTAGTTCACCAATTCACTGTGCCATGAGTGGAAAGAAATTTGTGTCTGTTTTGTTTCTTGTTTTGCTTCCTGCTGAACCAGAATCCACTGATAGGCAACATGTATTATGTGTAGATCCTCCGCTGCCATTTGAGAATCATATTGCACAGGCCTGGTGACTTGACACTACCTTGCGGTCAAACAAGAGTGCTTGCAGCATCGTGACCTATCCATTGACTTCACCGAAATAGGTCCAGGGACAACCACGAGGTTTGAGGCCCCAGTAGTCCAACCTCGCAGCAAAAGAAGGGGGGGGAAGAGCATCCAGACATGCAGAGATGCAGAGATGCAGAGATCCAGACACATCCAGTATTTTCCCGCCCCAATGGAAATATATATATATATATACAAAAATACACATAGTTAGATTCACATTAAACCCATAGAAAACATATCAACAAAAGCAACACAGAACGCACCGCCCCCATGCCGAAAGCATGGTCCATGGTGGACCAGGCGTGGGGTCGGCGGATGTTGTTATTATCAGTATTCTTATTATCAATTAGTGTTGCTATTTTGGGCAAGGTTTACGCTTTTTCAATGGTATTCCCTGACATGGCTCTTGCTGCTTGCGGCGGGTTGCCTTAGGCAGCGGCAAAGCCTTCAGATGGCAAGGCCCGGCTGTGGCGGCCCACACCCAGAAAGGTTCAACAAACGGCCTCTGAGAAATTGCCAAAGTCCCTTCTTGGGAGGTGAGGGGGGGGGCCTCTTGCTTAGAACCCGCTTATTTTGTAGCAAGATAGGGAGTCCCCTTACAGCTCTGGGGCAAAGCCAAAGCAGCCGCCCAAGATGCGAGTTACAGTAGGTCCTGGAGTTTCCTCTACCAGGGATCTTGGTAGGGGCCTGGATTTTTTGCGAGCGCAAGGGACCGTATTATTGAATCCCACCCATTCAGTTGGACCCCCTCCCTGTCCAAGTGGACGTACCGCAAACCCCCGACGGCTCCGCAGGCCCACGTACCTCTTGAAGGCTCGGATTCTCGCTGGGTGCCATACGGGTATTAGAAAGGTAACATGGGGGTTTTCCAAGAATGTCATGTGCCCTGTTGCACATTGCGAACGGCCAGTTGCCATGGTTGCCACATCAATTGGGAGTCCTCAGTGAGCTTGTTTCGTTTTAACAATGACTAAGTCGGGGGTGGCCCGTTGCAACATGAACCAGTTGGAAGGTTGTAACTATGGTTGGTAAGTGAAGCAAGTCTGCTGCGGCCCTTTTGTTGATCTGAGTTTCGCGGGTGCGGCTTCAAGGGTGTATAACAACACTGCTTGGTGCACGGGCATGGCAAGCTCTCGCCCGTGCAATTCAAGCGCAATCCCAAAGCGCATCTTGAAGTGGCTAGCATTTCCACTGCGAACTTCGCCGCGTCCCGTCCCAAATGCACTCACACGAAGGGTGGCGCAAGGGCTCACTAGCGCTCGGGCGTTTCAGGCGCAGGGTTGTCCCATGCCTCACTGGACGCCGTTGGGAAGTCGCGAGTTGTTGTTGACGCGCGCGCTTGACACAATCAGCGAAAAAAACCACGCGCGCAAAGCCAACGTCAGGTTGCCAACAGACAGGGCCAAAAGCTCGTGGAACCTTGCAGGGGGATCTAGGGGGTTCTGCGGAAAAATAACTCAAGGGAAAGCTTGAATCTCTCAAGGGAAGCCTTGGCTTGGGGGGTGCCGACGCGTGGGACTGGCCCCTTGGATTGCCACTCTGGCGCGGTTTCGGGCCGAGCGCTTCGCCCACCAGCAACGCGCCAGGTGTGACGTCAAAGTACTGTAGGATGGGAGCTAAAAAAATGATCAGGCAAAAGTGACATGGTTGTAGGTCCTTAGTGGGTTGGGGCCCCAGCAAATTCACTTGAAGCGTCAGGCGGGTCCACGGACGCAACTCCCCCCAGCGAGTTGCGAGGCTTTTGTGTGAGAGGCTTTTGTTTGATAGATCAAGGCCCATCATGGCCCGACCTCTACTCACCCGTTCAGTCTCCCAGTCTCCGTTCGTCATTTTGCTACTTTATCAGCTGTGGAACACGGGCCAATGGATTCCCTGGCGTTTGCCCGTCAAAGGCGAATTGACGCACTTACAGCAACCCAAGCTACTAGACAAGCTCTCCAATCATTTTCCTGTCAATTTTCAAAAGGGTGGCTCCTGGCCATCTAGCCACAGCACATGTGAACCATTTGTTGCACTTTCTGGTCTCTGTCCAGCCTTGGTAGGGTTCAGGTTTGGGGTTTAAATTTGCCCTCAAATCCCCGCGTGGGGTTTAGTTTTGGGCCTAACTTGCCCTCAAACCCTCACTTTAGGGTCCAGGTTTGGGGTTTCACTTGCCCTCATTTAGGGTTCAGGTTTAGGGACCCCCCGTTTCAGGTTTTTTGGGGTTAGCCTTGCCCTCAAACTGCCCGTTTAGGGTTTAGTTTTAGGGCTTAACTTGCCCTCAAACCCCCACTTTGGGGTTCAGGTTTAGGGTTAGGGGTTCTTGCTCAAACCACCCGTTTTGTTTTGGGGTTTGACTGGCCCTCAAACCCTCACTTTGACTGTGGAGAGCCTCACTTGTCACCTTCTAACTTCTGGCTGAAGCATAGTCCCAAACAATGCACATAGTGAGTGTGAGGCCCCCGGAAGAGAGTCTCCGGGCAAACCACAAGTGCTGGCCGGCTATCTACTACATGGGGAAGCTCACAATTAGCACATGATGCTGTTGTCTCCGGCGGCAATATCCCGCTGACACACGAACGTATTCGCGATGTTGCACTGGTGCCCGGCGCCCTCCCTTGGTGACCACTTGACACAACATAGTTTCTCAGTTTCATGTCGGTTTCCCGAAACGAGCCCTGTCTGAAAACACGCCGATTTGGATGCAGGCGGATTGCACCGAGAGCGAGGAGGTGGAGTCACCCCAATCTCTCCATTGAGCGGCAGCGGTCTCGGCGAGAAGGGTTTTTCATTTTGAGGGGCCAAAAGCGAGCTGATGGTTGTGGAAACGGCTGGGCGCATTCCACAAAGCAAACTTGCCAAGTTTTCCACCCTGTGGCCAGCCCACTGACGCACCGGCGCGGGCCCTTCCACCCGGTCTTCTCCGCAGTGATGGGCTCCGCGGTCGTGGGCCCACTGGGCGATCTCGTAGTTCTGACCATTCCCCGCAAGTCATTTGCTCACTTGCCCAAGGCGACCTTTGACCAAATAGTTTCCCATTTTTCGTCATGGCCCCCAAAGGTGAACCTCTTATTTCCAGGTCCTTTGGGCAAGTGAGTCCGAGTTGGGCAGCGCGGAACTGGATTTGTGGGCAACGCAAGGAGATCACAAGGGATCAGCTGGTTCGACTCTGGGCCCTGCCGAAGTCTGTCGGATTGAGTGCGTCGTTTTTGGTTCAACCACGACTTGGGGATCTGTTTTTTTCCTCCAACTTGTGGGAATCTACTTTTGGGAGCCGGAACTTTCGGCAACCCTTTCGACCCCCCCCACTTCGGACACCCCGCCTCTGGAAATCCTTGGGGTCTTTGGGCGAGGCCACGCCCAGATGGTTCGGCTCTGCGGACCCTGCTGCACCTTCTTCGAGGCGGAACGGGCGGAACGGGCGATGCGGACGGTTTGTCCTTTTGAATCCAGGAAAATCACCCCAAAAGGTGCCCGCGTTTTTTCTTCTTCTCCCGCTTGGGATGCCATTCAAAGAGGGAATTCATTAAAATGGTGTCCACCAAAAAGACACCCTTTCCATTTCCGTTACTGTGCGCATAGGTGTCCTTTGTGGATCAAACCCTTGGTTAAAGATAGATGAACTCCACTGATTTTGGTTTGTTTATAAACATTTATTGAACTGTGTCCTTCACTCAGAACCCTTCAATCAGAACTCCTTCGAAGAAGGTTCCAAGAACAGTGCAGAATAAAATCGACAAGGTCAACAGAGTAAACGACATGTTCCTCCAATTAGTCTGGAGGGACCGAATGGGACGAGGCCTGGGGATGAGGATTGCAACATGACGTGCACCTGGGTGTTTCCAAAAGTTTGGGCCCAGAGAGGGTATAGATTTAGGCTGCCTGCTGTTACTACTACAGAAACTGGAAGCAATGTTTGTTTTGCCGGAGAAATGAAGGACACGGCCCCAAAATCAAGTTTTCAGTGGCACCCTTTTTGCCTTTGTGTTTGGTATGGCCGACCTGAAGGCTAAGGCACTGGAGTGTTGCTATTCTCTTTTTACTGTTTTTTGAAACAAATTCAACAGGTCTTTGGACTAGACTCTTTGACTCTTCGATGTTTCGGATTGACCCTGGCTGTTTTGACTTTTCGACTTTCAACTTTTTCAAAAATGGATTACAATATTTCGACTTTTGACAAAGGGACAAATGCTTTTCGGAATTCAATAACTCAAACAGTCATCAAATTTTCGACTCTTCGGAATTTGACCCTGACATTTCAACTTTTCGGATTTGATCCGCCTTCTCGACGTTTTGATTTTGACTTTATCAGATGTCGACTCTGATTCTTCAGATTTTGACCCGACTTTGCGACTCTACGACTTGTTGACTTTCAGCCGTTTCGATTCTCGTCCAAATGTGGACTGCCAAAGCGTGCAGGTGTTGTCTCTAGTAGCACTCGGGACACCGAATTTTCACCTTGGCGTGGCAACACTGCGCCAGAGGAAGGGTTTCCTTTTTCCGCCCGCCCGGAGGCTGGACCCCTTCTGAGTCTTGGGCACCCTCCCCTCAGATAGCCCCACTTAGCGGCGCGTTTCGCGCGAGGCCGGAGTTGGAGAGACCTACTCCATGCAGCGGTTCAAGGGTGCCGGCCGGCCGCGACGCCGAAACGCCGAAACGCGTGGCAGCGTTTTGAGGTGGGAGGATCACCTGTGCCCTATATATATATATATATATATATTTATATTACATACAATATCATACGGAAGTATACAGAATAATGCAATTAATGCAGTTTCTAAAAAGCTGGAGGTGATTTCCTCTAAAGTTGACACAAGAGCTAAGCATCACCTTGGCCTGGCTTGTACTGATCCATTCAAGCTTGCGATGCAGTTTGCTGCGCTGCATGTTCAGTGTAGGGCTGCTTTCCGTTTGGTAGCTTGGTAAAGTATGAACTTGGTGGGATTGATGCTTGCTTGTGCCGGTATTTTGCGTGTCAGAAAACTCCTCAAGCATTTTCACTGCTTCTCGCTCCTTGCTTGCTAGGTGTTTGAAAAGAACAGGGTTCAACAAATGTTCCAAGCAGGTTCCTGTTCATGGGTGAGTGTGATTTGTTCTCGCCAGGTGCAACAATGCTTTAACCCGCGGTTGCCGCAGCCGCTTCTGTGCGGCGAATTCGGGGTTTGGATTAGTGTCAAAACGGGGCCCTTCAAGTCCTTCGACTAGTTGGGTACATGTTGATTGGCCTTCGCGAGCCAAGTGTCCAGTTTTGACACATACCCATCAGTCTCACCTTGCGAGCCCTCACCAGGAGGACAATCCTCGTCGAACGGTGCCAGGTCTCGGCAGTTGTGACACAGCGGATCATTTCGTGTTTTGCGACGGGGGCTTCTACGGGTTTGTTCCGTGCATTGTGATCTAGTTGGCCCAGCGCCAGGCAAAAGCACTGCAGTGCGACTGTGCGGTTTGCTGATGAGAACCATTTGTCCCCAGGCCTGCAGTGAAGGAACCCAGCCATTCTGTCCCCTTTTTCCTTGTCAAGAGCCAAGCGGCAAGAGCACACGTTCGCTCCCCTGTTTGTTCGCTTTCAGAATCAGTCAGCTGAAAACGCCACGCTTTTTCCCCGCATTTGTTTTGGGGCTCCAAAATGGATGACGTCCTGTTGGATTCCCTTCAAAGCACCGAAAAAGGACCTCCATTGCACCGTTTAGGAACTTGGCTTGTTTGGGCTTATCAACCAGCATACCACTTGCGCACAGCCTTCGCAGACCCAGTAAACCCATAGACCCCCCCGCGGGGGTGCTGGAGCCATCCAGTCCGAGAGTTTTTGGGTGTGCCATTTGACGGTCGGTTTTGGTGGGCCAAAATCTCTCGGGCCGTATCGATTTCTGAAGACAAAATAGCGTCGGCTACTCAATGGGTTTGTGTGCAAATAGGGCAACTTCCTATTTGGTTCAATCTTCAAGCCCTGATAATCGGTCCCTTCTGGGTGCGGATCCCTCAGCTTTTCCAAAAGGGTTGCGGGAAGTAGGGGAACCTCCCGCCTTTCGTTCTGTGCAGAGTTTGGGAAGAACTTCGACCCCCTAATCCCCCCTTGGTTCAACACGCTGACAGCGGCGCGCCCGCGGCCGTTTTTGTCTCGGAAGCTCAAGCCTGTGGCCTTGGCGTCCTGCTTTCAGCCGGCGCCCGAAATCGTCGGTTGTTTGGAACAAACTGTTTTGGAGATTCCATGAAACGCCCATTTGGTGCCTCAATTGAAATGGCGCACCCTTTTTTTCCCGGTTTTGACTCACAAGATAGAGATGTTCCTATGGAAGAAGCCGCGGTTGCCAGTCAAGCCCAGTGTATCTTAAGTTTCGAACTTTATAGACAGAAAGAGAAACCTTTCAAGATTGCCAATCCACATACAGGTATGTTTTTTAAAAGGGGACCCTGAAGTGGACATCATTTATTATGTGAGGATTTGTGCTGTGGATTTTCGTCGCTATATTCCGATTGTCACTGGTTTCCCCGTAAGCAGGGACCAAAATTCTACCCTTGTGCCAGGCGTTGTTTGGGCAACCCCTGAATTCACATCCTAGGCTGCTAAAGTTGCGGAGATAGATGACAGTTTCAGTTGAATTCGACCTTAAACCCTTTGGGGAATTGCGAATCTTCCCTCCAATCCGCAAAACATATTCTGTTCTTTTCTTTCTTTTTTGTTTGGGGGGGGGGGGGCAATAGCCGCCAATTTCAAGTAGTGAAATGCGCCTACAGAGCGACGGATCTTCCTTGTTACACGGGGCCCTGCTTGGAACTCAAGAGGCGCCATTTGCGAGGCTCAGCATGGCTGAGGAGGAGACCCCGGCCGGCGTCCAAACCGGGTGCCGCTGTGTTCTGAGTGGCAAATGTTGAATGCTGAGTGCTAAATGGCAGAGGGTGTTCATCTCCCCTGAAGGACACCAAACAGGGAATGAACAATGCTTTTAATTTGGCCAGACCTCGTATTTAGCACGCAGAGTGGAATGGTGCTAAAGATGGGTCCATGGACTTGCATTTCCTGTTGGTGAGGTTTATTTGATATGTTCCCTTTGGCAAAGACAGATGCGAACTGACAGGACCCTTTTAGACCACTGTTGCCGCCTGTTGCCGCCAATGTAAGTCCATGAGGGAGTCTGGAGCCAACCAACTGGAAGGTCTGAGTTCTGAGTTTCTAGCAGCCTTGGGTAAACTTCAAGTTAGTCAGTTTGTCTCCTATTTTAGTTGGGCGATGTGTAATCGAAGGCGACCCTGTGCCAAAATTTCACTATGACTCATCCCCAGTTGTTCAGCAAAGCATTGTCAACACCAACACAGGGCTCCCCTTCCCTATCGTGGGGCAACGCAACTGGGCACGGTGAGGTCGAGGTCGAACAGCCGCCGGCGGAAACGCCTGCGCTCAACGGCGCGGAGGAGATCAGAGTCTCGATAGAAAGGAATCCTCTGAACAGTTAAGCTGGTAGTCATGGCAATCAACCTAATCAGAATTATTCTGATTTAATACACCCCTAGTATCAAGGGAGCCCCCGCAAAAGTGGGAAAGTCGTGCAGTGAGAAACATTTGTCCATGATGTGTAATGCGCATATCCAGAGTTTCTGGAGGATATTTCCCTTTGGCCCTTTGGCCGACGTGGCTTGTACATAAATTTCGGTCAACAGTTCGGTCAATCTGAGTGGTCTACGATTAAATTGGGGAAACCAGGGAGCCTCACTCATTTGCCCAGTATGCTAGGATGAAGGGATACTTTGACCGTGGCTCACAAGAGGGGTCTATATTTTTTGTTTGGGTGGTTTAAATATCAGCTTTTGAACTAATTTCTTCTTCCTGTGGGACAGGTCATGCGTGTGCTGGGACCCTGGCCCAAACATGCGCAGAGTTCCCGCTTTTGTCTTGGGGCTTGGGGTCAATGCATCCAGAGGCGCGATTGGCTGTTCTTTCAAGCGACTCCTGCAGCTTTGCCCTGGAAAAAGACCCCTAGGTCACACCCACAACTTGTATGGGGTTTTGCATGCTGCCGCCGCCAAAACTGTCCGTGGGTTTCCGGCAGCTTGAAGCCAATGTCAGCGGTTGTTCCGCACGCGGGGAGCAAGAGCACACGGGTCAAAGCGAGATACAGCGGGGTTTCTGGGCATGTGACACCTGCACTCGTACATTTGCCTTGTTCAGTTTTTAAACCTCCGGCGCGGTCAAGGGGTTAGAAGTTTGATCATTTGCCTTCGGGGCTGGCGGCTTCAAGCTGTCCATTCCGAGCGATTTCCCGCGATTGCCGGGGTCCGGAGCCCGAATGGACACACTCGGCGGTTTCTTTCAAGCTCTTTCCCGCAGGAGGCGGAGAAGAAGAAGAAAAAGAAGAAGAAGGCGATGGCATATTGCCGCACTTGCAAAGTACAACCATGCGATTGACACAGCCTGGAAAAGTTACATACATTTGGTTGAAAGTAGACGGCACAGTTCCCACTTTGGTTAAGTCATCCCCTTCACAACCTCTCAAAAAGGAAATTGTGCCATCCACTTTCACCCTGGTGTAGTTGATTTCGTCAATTTTAGTCTGTCTGATCCTTCGGGACGGGGTTATTGAAGAAGCCAGGCGATAGCGAATCAGTTTGGTTCGGTGGATTCACCATGCGCTATGCAGGGGTTTAATTGGCTTGCGACCACCCGGACTTCAGCACTTGTAGAAGGGCATAAGCCCTCTACATGTGAGTGTGAACTTCAATGGGGAATCCTTCGAAAGTGAATTTGTCCGTGGACGATGTCTACCAATAGGTCCAGCCCACATGAAATTCAATCGGGAAATCCAGATACTGCATAGTCCGGAATCCAACATATTCTGGACCTACAATTGGAAAAGGCGCCTCTTTTTGGTTCTGTTCTCCATGAAAACCAACACAGAAAGGAACAAACCAGCACACCACCGACTTTCTCCCGAGGTCAAGGAGGTGAAGACGGTCTTCGAGTCCGTGCCCGCGGCCTCGTCCGCGGAGTTTTCCGCGTCCAAAGCGGTGCCGCTCCCTCCAGTGCAGCCAATGAAGTTGTGTGTCACCAAATGTTGAGGAAATGGGCGCTACTCACCCACACATAATTGGGCAATTATCTCCAGACCAGGAAATGGGCTACTCAATACCAGTCGCTCCTGGACCCTTCTAGGGAGGTCCGACCGCGCGCAGGGACACCCCCGAGCAGTCGGACGAGCGTTTTGGTAGGACATGGGGGTTGCCCACCAAGTTTCTGTGTGAAATGGCTAGGACTTTTCGTTGGAAACAGTCTCATTTTGACTTTCCATTTGGCTTCTTCTTTGGTTCCATTTGGTTTTCCGTGTTTTTTCTTGCCAATTCTTGTTTATAGGGAAGCACTCTCAGAAAGGTCTGGTGGACTTAACCCTCATGGAAACAGGGTAAACAACATATCCATCCGCAAATTTGATGCCGTCTATGTTTGCCATCATATGTATAGTTGCCCTCACATCCAGAAACCTGGAACATGTCAAGGTCCGTTTTTCCCTTTTAGAGGAAAGTGTTCAAAGGACCCACCCCCCGGTTAGGTTTGATGTTTGAGTAGGTCTGGTTTCCTCTTCAGCACCAACCAACATTGGGGCCATTTTGAGACATGTAAGTGATTTGACCAGGTTGAATTAGCTGGGCATAACCCAAATTTGCATTTGTGAGTGACATTGGCTCAAGGGTGGGTTGACATGGGCTGCATAGACAGTTGCCATGTTTATGTTTGAGAGCTTCAGAGTTGCTTGGTGTCCTGCTGCTTTTCAGCCATGGACGATTCCGATTCCGATGACGACTACTGGGGGTCGTACGAGCGCATACCCCAGGAGCGAGGCTGATGAGGTTCGGTTGGGCAAAGGCTGAAGTGCCTGAGATGTGATGTGGGCGCCTCTCGTTGGATGGCACGTCGCTAAGGGAAGCTGAGGGAAATTAAAGGAGCATCGCTCATTCTTGTTCTTTTTTGCCCCATTGGGACAGTCGAAATGGGCCAACATCCTGCCACCCGCTCCCAAAGCTAGGAGACGGTGCGTGTGCCCCGCACAGGTGCTGGGCTCAGCCAGATCGACAGAGTGAAATCACGTGCCAGTGTCTCTAGACTCCCCCTTTCTGGCCCTCGAAAGGAAAGCAAGCGCGGCCTTGCAGACTTCCATTCAAAGTCGCAGACGGCCTCAATAGTGGCATTTGGACCTCTTTTTTGGCTTTTGACGTGGAGCGCTTCGTGAGAAAGTCCAAAATGGTGATTGACTCTTTCTATGTCATAGAGACTCTCCTTGAGACGCTTCTTCATAAATATGACGCACGTGTATATGTACATATATATATATGCATATACATACAGTATGTATATGTCCACAAATACATGCACATGTCAGTCTCCCCCCTGTTATCCCCCCAGAACATCTCAGACCCCCTGCCAACCAAGTGAGACCACACCAAACACAAACAAGTCCGAAAACAAGGCGGTCTTGTTCTCAAAACCAATCCTCAATCAATGCCTCAACATAGCCCAATTCAACCCTAAACCAGCCCGAAACTAACTCCAACCAACCCCCCACCATCAGACGAGCGGGATCGGGGGTGGATTACGGTAGCACCCAATGGCAAACCCAAGGGGAAGCCACCAATTTTGGTGGGGGCTCCCTCCAAAAAGAGACACCTGCCCGGGGGAAAACGCAGACTGCGAGCGCTGGCCGTGAGGTGTGAACTCGGCCCCCTGGAAGTCAGAACTCAGCGCTTGCAGCACCACCTCGACCGGAAGCTCCCAGGAATCTGATCTGCTCCCTCTGGTGCCTTTGTGGTATTCAAATTGGGGAGTTGAACAGACCTCAGCTGCAAGGCTTCTTGATAAACCAAATATCGCTTCTGAAAAAGATGGGAATCATCCAAATGTGCGCTTTCCCTGTGGTTTCTCATTAAAATCAACCTTCAACGACAAAGTCTCACACTAAAACAATTGCCTTTTCCATCTTGAACGTCGGCAACTTCTCTGTTGATTCGAGTCGGATCAACTGTTTGATTCACATCCTCGTTTGCAGATGGACTGTCCCCAAACATTTTGAGCCCTCACTTCCGAAGTAACATGTGAGCCCTTTGCTTTCGGAGCCATCCGCTCTGCAATACGCTGAAAGCAACTCCATCAGCCTGTCCTTGATTTGGGTGTTGCCGGTAGGTTCCCATGTGCACCACAGAGGCCCAAATACGAAAGGAAGGGCAAGCGTATGGCAGCCCACCATCCACCGAGCCCATGCGGCCCCAAACCACTACTCCAGGACTTGAGGCGGCATGCACCTATAGTTTTTCTGCGAGCCCCCGACCCAAGCCTCTGCAACATTGTCATGGTTTGGACCCCATTTCAACCACTTTAGTACCCAGAAACATACCCGATGGTTCAACAGGGAAACTGCCCGGTCCCAAAGCTAATTTTGAGAGTTCGGGTCAGTCAAGATGAGGGTCCTCGGAATCCACCAACATAATCCCAAAACACACAAACCACGGGAACATGCCACCAAGCACTCCGTAAGCACTGCTTTTTTCCATGTCCCAAACTCCAAGCACTGTCCAAAAAGCGGTGGTTGGGGGTGCTGGTCTGCTTTTGTTGGCGAATCATTCACTCAGACCACTCCCCGTGAATGCAAGGAGACCGAGCTGGAGTCTGGAGCGCTGGTGGCCGCCCCGAGCCCCAGACCGGCTGGAGGTGTTTTTCAGTTTTTCCGGATCCTTTCAGATACTTTGGTGGTTTGGAGGTTTGACCCCCGGTTCTTGAGGGCACTGGGGCTCCCAAACCACAAGTTTCAACAATCACCCTAGAGGGAAGCTGACCAGCACCAGGTTTTCTGTAGTCAAAGCACGGGTAATTCTCTCAAAACAAGCTGACAAGTCGGGATGGGGTTCCCCCAATCCTGGAGTTCGGGAATCCCGACGGGGTCCAAGGGGGCAAGGAACCCCAAGGAACCCGTTTCCCCTTAGGCTCTCAACCTCTCAACTCTTAGGTAGGCGCCCAAAGCTTCGAGCTGCACGAGCTCATTGGCGCCGGCAGCTTTGGATCTGTCAGATCCCTAGCTCTCCGGCCGCTAGGTCCCGATCCACCAACTTTTGAGCGGGTCTCAGCTGGAATTCACAGACAGGTGTCCTTTCAGGTCAGTTTGCTGCTTAAAGAGAGATGGATTCCACTGGTTGCAACTTGGCTCTGATTTTCCAGTGCCGTTTAGGTGCCAGAAAAAGGACACCGGGACCTCCAGTGGGCTGTTTCTTTTGTTCTTTCTTCAACTTGTGTTTCGGAGTTTTGAAGGGGGAACCGGAAGGAGGAGCGCTTCTGTTCACATATGCGACTGAGAGCCTCCGAAGACTCGCTGGGCCGCCTATGTATGCCATTTGAGTCATCATCACACCATGGTATCCACCCAACACCCAGGAGTAAAGAATCGCAGAATCCCTTTGTGGCGTCCGCATCTATTCATAGCTGGGGCTGTCTCCAGCGGACGCGCGGCCCCATGTGCTTATAGTCACCCTGCTTTGGAAGACCATGTGGCCGTTGATCAAAGCATTCAGCATTACACAGCTTTTGCTGGTGGTGAAAGCCAACTCCGCCTCGAAGCTCGCTTTTTTGTTTGTTTGTTTGTTTGTTTGTTTGTTTGTGTGATTGGGTGCGTAACTCAGCACTCGCGCATCCAAAGACGACCTTCTAACACAATTCGACATTTATTTTCATATTTTTACTAGTTGTAGTCAGAGTCTCAATAGGTTACTCCCTTGCAAATTGACACGACAGATGCTCAATTGGGCGGCTTCAAGTTTCACGTCAGTTGTGGTGGGATTAACCTATTGTTCCCAGACGGGTTTGTCTCAAACAAAGAGAAACCATCAGGAAACACGTGCGTATATATATATATATGTATATATATACACGTGTGTGTGTGTGTGCTCGGGCGTGTGTCTGTGTCTGTGTGTGTGTGTGTTTCAATTTTTAGGGGATTATGGGGACTCTTTAAGGCCAGACATGGTCCCAAAACACATCCGAAGGTCTGGCGGGCCAGCTGCCGAAGCTCCGGCGCGTCGGTCGCCCTGAAGGCGGGGGAAACCAAAGGGAAACCATCCCAACGTGTGTGTGTGTGAATGTGTATATATATATATATACATATATAAACATGTAGACACACATGCACATACAACAAGCAATTTGACAGTAAATAAAGCAGCTTTCCCATGTCAGCATTCTCAGTTGAAGATTGCATGCACCCGCTTTGCCTGCTGCCACGAGAACACACACACACACACACAGAGACACATGCTAAGCATGAGCGCTCATATGTCGAAGCTGCGACTTGACAGACCGATCTTCTGGGCAATTTGCCCACGATGGCGCTTCTTTGTCTGGTCCTTTTTTTGGTTAGGGAAATCATACCAATTCAGGTCGCGTGTAATTTGGGGCTCCCGAGAAGTTGCTTGCAGAGGTTTGGGAACCAAACCGCACAGGAGCCGGCGGTCAATCCGGTTGCAGGAATCAACCAGCAAGAAGAACTTCAAAGAGCTGTTTGGAGCAGAAGTTGGCCAGTTCTGACAGCCGTTTCGTGAGGTCACCCCACCCTCCTCATCCGAACATGGCCTTGGCGTTGGCCAAGCTTGGCGCCAGGAAGTCGTCACTGGCAAGATGTCCATTGAGGCGGGGAAGACGATGCGAGCGTGGGAAATGCGGTTTTGGCGGACTCAGAGGGTCCAAGTGCTGAATATCGCGTTGAACCCAAGAGGATTTGTCACTTACAAACCAGAACATGGAGGAAAACTCTTTCTTGATAATAGGTGATCACCTGTTTTCCTCCACCAGGTCCTTTGATGTGTGAGCCATACAAGCCCGGTTTTCAACAAGTATTTGTCCTTTGGAGTGTTTGGGGGGAGTTGCGCCACAAGGCAGATGATGGTTTTTCGGTGTACTAGTGGAAACTTGGGTTTGCAACCCAAGCCGATGGGATGCCTTGGAATGCCCGGCCGCAACTCGTCAGGCAGTGCAC